CCAGTGGTGCAAGGTGTTAAGTCTCAGCACTATGAAGCTATCAGCAGCCACTACAGCATGAGTTCGATCCCCGGCCAGGGAGCCGACCCACATGGTGAAGCAGACCTCTCCTGTCTCACCTGCTGCTCCCCTCAGCAGTGTATTTCAGTCAATCTGCCTGTTCTGTTCTCCACTCTGTCTCTGGGGATCCTCTCACCCCCCGCACCTTTGGCCTTTACCCTAGGTCTTGTATGCATAAATAAATAAATCTTTTTTTAAAAAAAGAAAGTGATCATTTAGCAGCCCTTTAGTCATCCTTGTATGCAAGGCTGAGTGTCAGGAAAAATCAAGGAATAATAAGATAGAAATCTGGCTCCTAAAAGTTACACTCTGGGTTGGAAACTGGAAAAAAACTAAAACACATAAATAACAGTATCAGATTTTGAAAGCAATTCCATACTTTAGACATTGTAGAGGCCCTGAAAAGTACATGTGATAATTTAAGGGGGGGGTGGGGAACCCAGCACAAAAATCATAAAATTTTCTTATAGTTTTGCATATTCACATAGAAAAAAAGTGATCATCTCCAGCTAAAGAACTACATAATACCTTTTTTTTGCTTTCTACTTTCTAATTTCCAAAGTTAATAAAGAATGAAAAAATATACAACATTATCAAGGTACTACATTATAAAGTTCAGGAGAATGGTTCAGTAGATGAAGTAAACCCTCCTGAACTATAGTGGGTGGCCCTAGGGCAGGATCCTAGAATAGCAATAGAATTTAGCAACAGGGGAAGAAATAAGGACATTTTCTTAGATGGAACTGTATGAGAAAAACATACACAAAGTGAAAAACCTGAAGTTGTATTAACCTCTTTAACAGAAGGGGGAGCTGTTCTTTAGTTGAGTAGTGAAAGGTAAAATTTTAACATTGAGGAAGTCCTTGAATACTGGGCTAAATATTTAACTTTTATAATAAAGTCAGTGGGGAAATATACAGCAGGAAGATTAAAGTAGTGTTTTCAGAAAATTCTGGAAAACAGTAGATTGAAGACAGGACCACCAACCATAATTAGACTACAAAATTGTACATATGATTGCTACTTTTTAAAAAGTAATCAAAAAAGAAAAATTACCAAAAACAGGAAAAAAAGTACAGCCTACTTATGGGGGAAATTTTTTAAAGAAATAAACCAAGATGTTCATATTAGTAGTATTTTATAACAGGAAGGTAAATTTCCATGTTTTGTTGTTAAGCATGTACTAGTTTTGAATTGAAATGTAAATTAACCAAAACGTTAAATATGTCACAGCTCAAGGATGTGTTTTTTGTACAACCTGGCTTATTTTCAGATCTATGTGAGTTTATCAGAAAATTAGCCAGATTAGCCAGAAAATTAGCCAAATTAGCCAGAAAGTTAGCCATATTGCAGCCAAATAGGTGTGCTGACCTTAAAATGGGAAAAGAGCAGAGTATTTTCTTTATCAAGTTACTTCACTGAGGACTGCCTGGCAGCACCTCATTAGAATTTCAACTCACTACCAAAGGTACTAGTTATCACTTTGTATTCTCAGTGGAGATATTTTATTGAAGGGTTTGCAACAACTAGCCTTTTTTTTTTTTTAAATCAGTGGGGCAGCAGTATGAGATTTTACTGTGGAACCACTCGAATTAGTTTCGGTTACTATTAACACACAGCATGCAAAAGAGTAGCAAATGAATTTAACCAGGTTTGGCAAATAGAACCTCATGACCTATTTCTATCTTTTAGAAATTTGATGTTGTTGGTATAGATATATTTTCAAAAATTCTAGAAACCATTCACAACTTCAATGAAAGAAAACTTAAACATTCCAGAAGCAGCTAAAACATTCTATTTTTTTCCCCCATTAGTAGCTTTTTTGATAGCCATTTTATGAATTGACTTTGCTCTTTCCTTTTCCGGTTTTTAGGCAGTAGTAATGTTGGGGACACACTCCCTACTGGGCAGCTCTCCAATATCCCATGGCGCCGAGCAGGGGTAAAGTATACAAACAATGAAGCCTATTTTGATGTCGTTGAAGAAATAGATGCAATTATAGATAAATCAGGTAATTGTGTACCTGTGATTTTATATTTGAGAGAAAAACAGTTCAGCTGATATGTACTGGATAGAAAATTAAAATCCCTTGGCAGTGTGGTATCAGTGGAAAAACATTTATTTTCTAATGGTTAAAAATCTGGGTGGTTTTTTTTTGTCTTGCCCAGAGGATTACATATAATTTTTATAATCACTAGTTGAAATCTGCCAAACTTTTATAAATAGATCTAATGCTATCTTAATTTAATTATTACCTTGTATACCTCTCCCTGTCACTTATTCATCCTAACAGTTATTGTATATCTGCTATACACCATACTTTTACTACCACTTTATGAGCAGTAATTCTAGTAAAGACCCCAGAAAAAAACAATAGTACTCTATTAGAATCATTACATTTTATTAAAAACATCCAGTCCAACTCTCATATTTTATACGTAAGGAAACTAAGGCTCAGAAGAGTAAGTGATCTGTTCAAGGTCACACATATCTAGTTGGCATGTGATAATCAGTTACTGTGAATTATAATCAATATCTTTTCTTTAGTGAGTGCCCTTTTCATTTATAATTCCATTGTACAAATAATAGCTGTATTGCAGAGTAATGGCTCCTGTTTCTTAAAAAGAATAGGTAGGTCAGTCCATTCCATGGGAAGCTTGCCTCATTTAAAAAATTCTATTAAGTATATTTAACTTTATAGCTAACATTCTTAGAAGACTAACTCTATAAAGATAGGTTTGATTTTCATTAGAAGCTGTCTGAATTGGTGTAATGAATCCTTTGTCCACTGACCTGGCAATAGATGGGCAAAAGCTTCACTATGTCTGACATCCAGGAACCATTACTTCAGAGATATGGATAGCTCTAGTGAAGATGTAGATTCTTTTGATGTTACCATCCTTTCTGTTTCTTTCCTTAGGATCTACAGTCTTTGCAGAAATTCAGGGGGTTATTGATGCTTGCATTAAGTTATCTGGAATGCCTGACCTTTCCCTTTCTTTTATGGTAAGTTTTGTTTTCCTGTTATGTAGCTCCTTGCATGGCTAATGTATATAAACTACTAAGTAAAATGATACTGAGACAAGTTTGTATCTTAGATTGGAAAGGATCACCTGAGAAATTTCCAAGACAGTAGTTTACATAATGAGAATGACTTTCATAGAAAGGCTGAGGACAGGTCTTTGCCTAGTGTGCTAGAAGTGGCTTAAATAGCTGGCTGGCCTCTGCAAATCTGCATTATCATTTTTATTGAATTATTTGCTTTGCTGATGAGAGTATTGATCAGCATGACATACTATGAAGAATAATCAAGAGCACTGAGTCTGGTACTGATCTCTTCCATTAACTTTCTTGACTTTGATTTCATTGAGCCTCAGCCTTTCCTCTACGAAATGGGGTCAGCCTTTCCTCTATGAAATGGAAATGATTGTACTAACATTTTCTACCTCAGAGTTATTGAATTTCAAATAAAATGGTTTTCATAAAATACAAACTTTAAAGCATTGTGAAAATATATAAGGCTGTGTTGATGTGGTCATAATATTAACTATTTTTAAGAATATATTAATTTAATATTGGAGTAGAGTTGCCACATTCATTATAATCTATGAATATGTTTACCTTTTCTTTTCCTGCTAGAACCCAAGGCTTCTAGATGATGTCAGTTTCCACCCCTGTATCCGGTTCAAGCGTTGGGAATCTGAAAGAGTTTTGTCATTTATTCCTCCAGATGGAAATTTCCGACTCATATCATACCGTGTCAGCTCACAAAAGTATGTTGATGCGTCAGCCAGAATCTGCCTTCATATGTCAGTGTTCTGGGAAGACCTCAACTTTCCCTGTTTCATTCTTTAGTTATTTTTAACTTAAGCAGAAGGGTATTTATTGGAAGGTTTTCAGAGATTTAGAATCAATAAAAAGGTAGAGAAGATGACTCTGAAATGAGACAGGAAACAGAACTGATTTGGAAACTCTGTAGATGCTCCTGGAAAGAATACTCAAAGTCATAATTCACTGCTGGGCCTCTGGGAAGCAGACATGTCATGTGCCTTCTTTTCATTCTGGTCTTCCTGGCTCAACAGAAACTGGTAGCAAGTACAACAACAGATTTAGTGAAGATGGGATAATTTGCTATCCCTGTTTTACTCTGACAGTTGGAAAATTGAATTCATCATGGCTCCCTTTAGCCATGCTCATCAGAAGACACAGGAAGAAATGGTGGAAAATATATGTCTAAAGTTATCAGTGCACCTTAAATATGAGAGTACAGAGTAGTGGTAAATGAGACTATAGTAAAATCTATACTTGAGAACAACCCATGATAATAAGGTTTAAATGAATGATTTAGTGCTGTGTAGCTGACTTGTCCCTTTAAGGCAAAAAGTATTTGGGTAACATCAGGACAGGACTTAAAAGGAGAAAAACTGTTTCTTGGCTTTTGCCACACAGAAACGGTTTTATTTAGTTTGTAAAATTTTAAGTGGCCTTTCTGTGAGTATAAATCTTTTAGATTTATATCTAGATTTGTATACTTGTTGCTCAGAAATTATGTAGTTCCTAGCACAGTTTACCAGAACACTGTGCTGTACTCAAATCCCCCTGATGCGGATCTGAACCTGCAGTTCCAGGGATATAGGTAGATGATTTTCTCTTAGCTTCTCACTTGGGTAAAAAAATACTATTCTTTCCCACAATAGATTCATTGAGCTGCCTGAAAAATGATGAAAAAGGCTTGTTTTTTAAATAAGATCATAGAAAGTTAAAGATTATCTAATCCAATCCTAAGGATTTGAAGAACCTCCCCAGAGCGCCCTATTTTGGAGCCAGAGACAGGGTGGAATACCCTTGGCTGAGGTTTTTCAAGCCCACTCTGGAATGGTCTCACCCCATTCATTGTGCGTGTATGTGCTTTTGTGTGTTCTCTTTTTAGTCTAGTGGCAATACCAGTGTATGTGAAACACAGCATCAGCTTTAAGGAAAATAGTTCTTGTGGCAGATTTGATATTACAATTGGACCAAAGCAGAATATGGGAAAAACTGTTGAAGGAATCACAGTGACAGTTCATATGCCAAAAGTTGTGCTGAACATGAACCTGACATCAACACAAGGCAGCTATACGTTTGATCCAGTTACCAAGGTACAGCCACCTCAAATTGAGAATGAACAAGTTTTTCTGCAATCTTTGAGAATCTTTGACTTGGTGGGGAGGCGGGGGGAGGGAAGATGGTAGGGTTTAGTGTCTTGGTTAATAATAAAGTTCCTGTCAAAACCTAGAAGCCATACTGACTGTGGAGGGGATCGTGTACCTGCTTCTGAGTAGATGAACAGAGGCATTCTATTCTCCTTCAGAGTGTGCCTTTAATCACCCATTGATGATCCAGAGACTAATGAGTAAAGAAGATATAAAAACAGAAAAGCATTACATGGATATAAGAACATATTATTATAGCCTATTAATTGTTCAATTTTGTGTAGAAATTGATCATTAAGACCTCTCTTTTAATTTAAAAGCAGTGTTTCAAACTCTTCCACAGGGGATGTTGACTAGGAAAGCTGCTTCTTCACCCTACAAAAACACGCTTCTAAAAACAGGGTTTTCAGAGAAACTGTAAAAGATGGTTTTATCTCAGCTTCCTGCTTGAATAAATAAGATTATTTTCAACAGCAGAACACTTTGGGAGTGTTCTACATCCCTGGCCCTTCACCCTGACATTGTAACAGCTTTACTTTTTCATCTGTTACTGAGTTTTCATACTAAAATTTGAGAAAGGGTTCTATAGCTAAAAGTTTAAAAATACCAATTCAAAGTCAACCTTCTCATTTTACTGGAAAAAAAAAATAGAGAGAAAACAGTGAAGGTGGGCTAGTGGAAAGAACATTTGAAATAAGATCTCCATGGGTTCAAATCCCATTCTTGTCTCTAACTAGCTGTGTAGACCTTGAGTAAGTTTTTTGCCTTCTAAACCTAGTTTCCTCATTTGTAAAAGATAAAATCTACATTACAGGCTTCTGTGATAGAACATAACAGTGCTCAACAAATGTTGGTTCTCTACCAACATTCCCCTTTCAAAATCATGGACCTAATTAGTGGTAAAATTCAGTGAGGATTCCAGTTTGTTTCCAAGACACTGTGCTTCATTTTGTACAAAGTTTCATGGTGTCTTTGAACATTTGCCTTTAATAAATGGCTCAGACTGTTGTTTTTAATATCTTTTGAAGGTCTTGACATGGGATGTGGGGAAAATTACTCCACAAAAGCTTCCAAGTCTTAAAGGACTGGTAAATTTACAAGCTGGAGCACCCAAGCCAGAAGAGAATCCAAGCCTCAACATACAGTTCAAGATTCAGCAGCTTGCTATTTCAGGTCAGGATAAGTTTGATTTGTGTTTAAGGGTAACTGAGTTTGGGAGGTGTTGACTAGATGGGTAACTAAACATTCTCTCTCTAGAAAGAGCCTTTCACTCTGTGTATGAGGCCAGCATCTTGGGTACAATGATTTTGGAAAGCACCTTATCTCACACAGCTTTCCTTCACCCTCACCCTCATTCAGAAACCAAAGGAGGAGTCATTCACTCTCACAGAAAGTAGAATTATCCTTAAAAGCTATTCTTTCCCCACAATGAGAATTCAAACTAAAAATCTTATCTCCACATGCTATGATTTGTGAATAGTAGAAGGGACATTGCTACCAAATGTTAGAAGATACATTGGTTAATGTCAGATTTACTGTGTAGTGCTCAAATGCTAAACAAATACTGTATTTGACGTGACTAGGATAATAATTTATTCCTTTCCTTACCTATTCTTTTTGACACAGGCTTAAAAGTAAACCGCTTGGACATGTATGGGGAGAAATATAAGCCATTTAAAGGAGTCAAGTATGTCACAAAAGCTGGAAAGTTCCAAGTGAGGACATGAGAAGAGGCCAAAATTCTTCAAGATCTGTTTGTTTTCCAACTGTCATTACAGTTTATTACTATTAGGTACCAAGTGGGTGGGAATACATATTCTAGTTAAAGCATTTTTGTCAAGCCACACACCGCTAACAAAGTTGCTTAGTAATCAATGTAGGATCCTAAAGGAGCTTTTAAGCTAAGGAAAATTTTGAATAACTTAGCTTATTTTATATCTTTTCAACTTAGGACGATTTTAGAGGTGATTTCCTCCATAAGGGGGCACCAGCTGGAGGCTGCACATTTTAACAGTAAAGGCAGAAGTCTACAGTGATAACCTGTCTCCTAAAAGAAGTAAACTGGTCTCAGCCAGCAGGAGCTGTCTTAATCTGTAGTGTGATGTATCAGGTGCACCCAAGTGTCACACCTGATCTTAGCCATCCCTAATGGCATATGTCCCAACAGAGGAAATTCCCCCACCCCAAGAAGTTTACAGAAAACTGCCTCTTCAAGTGTTTGCCTTATTCAGCTTTTCACTTGTGCCATTAAGCAAGCACTGTAGCAGAAGCCACTTCCACATGGCCCTGGCAGGGAGCACTGCTGCTCTATGCTCCATTCTCACTGTACTTGGTATTTGGTATTGTATTTTTTATAAATAAGATTTTTATGTAAAGCTCAGATTTTGATTTACAGGGATCTTGCTGGATTAAGTACCATCTCAGTTTTGTGCCACTGGTTCTGCTGTTAGCACAGTAAAAATTATTTGTATCAAAGGGGTGAATGCTTTATTAAGATAATAAAAGGGAACACTACTTCTGCTTTTAGGAAATTATTGCAAGCACAAGCATTTGAGATTTTAAGCAAGTTATAGTAAAAGAGAAGCTTAAGTGAACCATTACCATCTTCATATTTTATAAAGTTTATCCAACACCACTTAAACCATAGTTAGCCTAAAGGCCTCATGCCCTAGTTCAGATAAAGGAGGAAAATGTACCTGCCTCACTATTGTTGACAGTTGGGGGGTTGGAGGGGTAGGATCTTTTATCTTTTTTGTTGTTCTTAAGGACTTAAATTTGCCTGCAGCTCTTGTCAATAGGGGGAATTCCCTTTTCATACTGTATGCTTTCCAAATCTATAGTCAATAGATTCCTTCCTGAAACTTATAATTGTCATTGGAATACTTAAATGTCTCTACTATACTGACAAGGTGTATGGAAGTATATAATATTGGGGCAGAAACAAAATCCTTACTAACTTGTATGAAACTATATTGACCATCATGGTTGGCAAGTTACTCTACAGTTGTATCATTTCACTCAGCTTCATTAGCTTAGAAATCCTTGCTTATTTTGCCTCATTAGACATGAAGAATGGAAAAAGGCTGAAAGTTAGGTTATAAATGTTTGTTCTTAGGTTTCCTTCTTGTTCTTTCTTATGCTATTAGCTTTTTTATCCTTGGGACTGCTTTCTTTTCATTCCGCTAAGATTATCATTCTTTCCTTATCATCTAAGGATAGCCCTTAAAAATTCATCTCATTCTGCTACCAAGGGCCAATGTTTAGTTGTACAGGGGTTCCACTATGCAGCAGCATTCTTACCTTTGCCTGTCTAGGGTATCCAGCCTCCCTTTCATCTACCAGGAAAGAAGTTTTGTAATTTTGGTATTTCTAGAGTCACCATTATCAGTTAGCTTCGCAACTAAAATTAAAATGTTGCCAAATATTTATCCCCTTTGCCTAAGGTTGGTCACCTAGTTCAGCTGCTTTTCATTTTTAATGTCTTACTCATCAGAGTTCATACCTCAAAAGAATAATCAGTATTTTGCTTTTTTCCTGGAGAATCCTCATCTCTACCAGTCATATCTAGACTATCCAATTTTTTTTCTGTTGTCTTCACTTAATATACAAGCAGATTGTATACCAAGAACCTCTCTAGCAATTTCTGCTAAGACTTTTAAGTAGACTGTTTACTTTTTCAATTAAATTATTCCATTTATTGATATGATTGAATCCAAAAGGAACTGAATCCTTTCTCTAGCTCTGGCTATACTGTCAATAAAAAGATGAAGCAATAGTTGATTATTTTAGTTTGACTGCTGGCCACAGATAGTAATCAGTGATCAAAGCTATTCTTCCTACCACCATTATCATTACTCACTATGAAAATTTAGTAGTAGTGGACTATTTTTCAAGCACAGAATTCCAGGTAATCCTAAAATAACCCATTGTTTAAAAATCCTATATAAGGAAACTACCATCTTATTCAAAGGAAATTCATGTGATCCCTTAAGTGGCGCTCTACATAAGAACCCTTAGAGTCATCTGATTTGAGAAAACTATAATGTAGCAGAAAGGCAGTGCCATTGATCATATGGTGAGTAGCAAAAATGAGACCATAGATTTCTTTTTTCAGATATTGCTGAGTTAATTCAGTAGCGTTGGACATTTTCCTGTAACTCAGCAGACTGGAATCTGACTCCCTAGTCAGCATCTTTCCTAAGTTACAACAGTAACAAATGTAATCAGCAACACTATCACCGTTTCAGATCTAGAAAACCAGGCAAAAATAGTGATAACCCAGCTCTACTCCAAGAACCTTCTACTCTTCTAGTTAGTGCTTCCTCATGCAAGAACTGGGCTACGCACCCCCCCAAAGCTAGCTCTGCCTCATTACCCTGTTGTTCTATATTGGGATTTGGAATATGAAAAATAGACCTATGGTATTCCTGCACATGTAACAGTTTCATCCTCTTAGAGGATACACAAACAGCTAGAATCTTCTAAGATTTAGACTTCTTCAACTGGGGAATGAGTCACATCACCTGCTAATTTACTCCTCCTGTTTGTCACTTCTGCTCTTTCTAGTATATAAGCCCCAAAGTTGTAGTTTATTACACAAATCCTTGTTAAGTAAATACACTATAGCTGTTTCTCACTTCGTCCAGACTGATTAAATAAAAATTTTTAGTTTCCAGATCTTGAGGATTAGTTGCATTGCTATTCCAAAATTAAGAAAAAACCTGCTCTAATAACATATCCATTTAAAGCATTATTTATACAAATGCACTTTATTGTTTTAAACAGAACAAATGAAGAGGCAGAAAATATTTGCATATAACAAATACTAGATAATAAATGTAGACTTTTAGTGGTGATGTCTCTAATCATCATTCAGGGATTTTTTTTTTTTTTTGCTTCACTGTGTCTTGAGCACTGATATTAGAGAAAAGCACATTGGCATAAAGTATAAACCAGTGTCAAAGCACTGGAAGAACTTGGAGAGCAAACGTGATTTTTCTTATTTCCTCTAAGTAATCTTTAGTAAAACAAAAGGTGATCTTTGGCATAGATTCATACTTTAAAGGCATTAATATTGCATTTATATCAGGTAAGCAACTATATAAATATGCTGAGGGCCTTAAAAACAATCTTTATCAGTTAATTAAAAGGAAATAGAGGAAGCCTGAGTGTACAGTACCAACTTAAGACAAATTTTACACATTTGAAGTTGGGATCTAACACACATATTGGGGGTGGGAAGGAAGGAAAGACATTCAGGCAAGTGTTCTTACTCCTTTACTCATCCAGTTCTGGCTTTAGGAAAAAATATGGTTTCATGTGCTGGGGAATGCTTAGACAGCAGTGACAAGTGCAAAAAAGGAAAACTTGTCTTCTCTCTCACTTTGCTAATAGGGACTTTATGGTGATAACTAATTCTTATACCAAATTCTCTTAAACATATTTGGGAGGGAGGAGAGGATTGCAAGGGATTGGTTATAGCTGATTGAGGAGGGTAGGAATTACTGAGGACTGTTTCCTAGGGGACTGACTCATCCCCTACAGTACCAGAATTCCAGTATGCAACTGTCCCTCTCCCTTAAGTAGGCATTTCCTGACAGGATTGCCGTTGCATTAAACAAACACTCATGGGGGGCAAGCACCAATTCTTATTTCTGAGTTTCAAAAAGATAAAAAGGATCTTTCAAAATTACAGATGGAAAAACACATCTTTAAAATCTTATTTAGGAGGGCTGGTAGGGGAGAATACAAAAGCCAGGATAAGGAGACATGATTTGGTTAAAAATTAAATGCAGCATTTCAGCTCAGAAGGAACAATAAGAGCTAAGAATGAATGATAAGGCCTCAGCACAGACCTCTACAGGCAGTGACAAAGCATGGAGCGCCTGGGGGTGACCCTGCTGGGAGAATGGGCAAGGCCACACCTGGGCTACTCTGCCCTCCAGTGGCAGAGAGCACCTGGACACAGTGTGTTCATGGGATGGCTACCTTGGCAGGCTGAGGTGAGATATATGGGATACGAAGTTTCCCTCTGGTAAAGAAAGAATCACGTGATTCTGTGACTATTCTCCTAATAGAGTTAAATTTGGTTTTGTAGTATGGAATTAAATTGGGAGAGGACAGGAAGTTAATCCAGGCCCCATATGCTGGGAGTCCCAGAGGCCACCTTCCCCTACAGCAGCAAAGCTCACTCCTGAAAAGGACCCAGGTAGCAGCCAGGGAGGGCAGGCCAGGTCAGCAGCAACATGGAAAGCCCAAAACAAATTTTGGAGGCACAGTGATGTCCTTAATTGACTTGCCTGGGCCCTGGGTCTTGGGAGCCTAGAAGAGAGAATGGGAAGCAGGGAAAAGGAAGCAGAGCAGAAACTGTCCCCTAGGAGCAAGTGCAGAGCGGGGTGTCTGACTAGTGTTCACTCTTGGATTCTGAGCTTATATGAAGTCTCCATAGGCTAGAAACCCAGTCTGCCTGTTGGGACAAAGTGTGCATGAGTATAACTGTGTTTGAGAATACAGGCTTTATACCAAGACACATTTCAAAGTGTCTATGATGAGTATACATGTTTTCTAATGTGAAGAGGCTCCTTTCCTTTCTGTTAGGTCAAGCCAGGATATGGCTTTTGACCCCCCAGCAATTCTGGGAGGCTCCTAGAACTCAGATCATTTTCATTCCATTTAGTGGGATTTGTGTGCCAGCTAGTTTCAACCAGGTGCCTATTGATACCAGGGAGTCTTTCTAACCCAGCGCAGTGTAAATCCAGCATCTGTTCGAATTTTGATTGAAGCTGCTTCTGCTTCACGAACAGTCTCCTTCACAGACTGCATGAGGTTCTGGGCGTTGTGAACCAGCATCTCTGTGGCCTGCAAGGAAAGAGGAATTCTCTGTTACTCGTGGTCCCTGAAGCAACCGTGCCTCCAAAAAAGGCTTGAACCATTTTACCTTTCTTGCACCCGGCATCCTTTGCTCTTATCACATCATTGGTGGCTTAGCTGGATCACCAAAAAGAATCCCAAACTAAACCATCACTGATTGTACACTGTGCCCTTAGATGGCCTCTAGCATATTCTTTCTTTGTCTTCAAACAAGCTCTTGCCTTGGGCTCTTGCTGTTCCTGGAATGCTTTTCCCTAGGGTATCCCATTGCTTACCCCTTATCATAATTACTAACTGATGTACCGTATGTTTTATAAAGATTATATCTAAAGTTTACATTCCACAGGGCAGATAGTTTTCTCAGTTGTGTTCACTATTGCACCCTACTGTTAAGATTGAACCTGGCACATAGGAGGTAATTAATTAGTTAACCAACTGACTAAAAAATAGCCAAATAAACTAATGACCTTGTAAGTCCATGAGAATCTAAATAAGTAAATATTCTAAACATACAAACCAACACACCAGGGATCACACTGGTACTCTGACTTGCAGTCCTATTTTTTCCCCACTCTAACAGCTGTCAATTTCTACCTTTTTTAAACTGGAATATTTATTTTAAAAGATTTATGCATGCAAAAACTAGGGTACAGGCCAGAGGTGTGAAGGATGAGAGGATTCACCAGACAGAGTGGGGAACAGAATAGGGGGACTGACTGAAACACACTGCTGAGGGAAGCAGCAGGCGAGTCAGGAGAGGTCTGCTGTGTCATGTGGGTCACCTTCCTGGCCAGGGATCAAACTTGTGTTGCAGTGGCTGTGGATAGCTTCATAGCTCTGTGTCTTAACCCCAGGGAGGCCTCACTGGAATATTTAATGGAACATAGTATATATTCCAAGGATACACTTTTGTTGGTTAATGGTTAATTAAACGATAAGACCCAAAACTCTGACATATTCTTCTTACTTCCATGTTTTTTCTACCTCCTTTTCTTTGGGCAGAAAGAGTCACATGACAGAAAATAGCCCACACCTAAACCCTGCCTATAATACATGCAAGTTGGGGGTAAAAATCTTAGTTTGGTTTAAGAGAAGCGAGAGTAAGGGGTGAAAGCTATTGGATTAAAACATGGTAGTGAAAGCAGCACTACTTCAGGCACCCAGAAGGGCACTATCCTATCTCCTCTGCAGTGTCCCTCTGCCTCCTGGCCTAGCCATCAGAAATGGTCTCACAAACTATGCAAGTTCCTAGGGTGGTGGGTGGGAGAATCATGGCTTTTTAACCTGCCTAAAACCTAGTACAGTGCTACATACACCCCTCATTTATAATGAGCCCTGTCTGGATAGAGCCACAAAAAAAAATGTGCTACCTACCTAAAAAGAAATTGGTAGTCTAGTTCAGCAGGATCTACTACAGAGGAGATAAGAGGAAACGTGTGCTTAAATGAGTGTTTTCAGAAAGAACTGGGCCATGTTTCCAGGAGGAGAGGAAGGACAAACTCCAAGAAGTGGTTACCAAGGTACAAACAAGAAGCTTCACTTCAGAGAACCTTCCCACTACCCTCTCAATCTTTGTCAAAGTAACCAAAAGGAAAGCACCTGCTTTGAGTGGTCATTTAGCACAAGCTTAACTACCTCATTCCCCTGAAAAGCCTGCACTGTTCATTCTCTCTGATACACCAGAGAATTATGAAGCAAAAATTCCCTGTAGCCAAAAACAAAGAGTGGGTAGGAGTGAACAGGCACTGGATACCTCGAGACAGCAACACCTATTTCAAATGAAGTCCTAACTGCTACTGGTTAAGGCCTTTAACTTCCCTGAGCCTCAATTTCCTATCTGTAAAATGACAAAAGTTACACAAGACCTTTATTCCCCTCTTCCAAATCTCTGATGTGTTTCTCCACAGTTACTCCCCTGAATCTATCTCACATATAGAATACTCAGTTTACAGGTAAAATTTCCTCAAAGTTGAATTAAATTGCTATAAAGTAGCACAGAAGTTGCCTGTTCGAAAGCAAGTAGCAACAGACACATACCTGCTCAGACTCCTCATCGCTGATGTTGGTCCGACCCAGCATGGTGGCCTTTACTGTGGACAGAATTTTGAGCTGGGTGCTAATGGTTGGGATCCGCTCACATACCTACAGAGAAATTTTAATTTAGGATGCTTCAGTTTTTCTTGCCCACAAGTCTCTTGAACACAAGACTTACCCACCTCTGTGTTCCCAATGCTCTGGGAATACAGTATTCTGGCATGCAGAAGGCACTCCCTAACATCAGGATTCCACCCGCTTTTCCTCAGGGCTAGTATAGTCCCTTTGTCCAAGAGTGGAAGCACTAAATTTATTTCATATGCTTAGGAAATAAACATTCCTGAATTGTCTTTCCAAAATACATATGTATTGTCTTTATCTGCTATTTCTTCCCATTAGAAATACATCTTTGATCACCCAGTTTTCTGTCTCCTGCTCTTCTGTCTGTCTCTCTCTCTCTCTCTCTCTCTCGCGCACACACACACACACACACACACACACACACACACACACACACATATCTGAGTACCTGTAAGAGGTTGGTTCTAATCCGCTTATCTGTGCACTGCTTTGCAACTTCCTTGGCCAACCGAGTCACCTCATCTGAGGCCTTGGCGATGTCCTTGGCACACTGAATCAGTGCTCTCTTGGTGCCACTGCCCCCTCTTACCAGCCGAGACATCTCAGCCATCAATAAAGCCATACGCTTGGCTGCTGCAATGATGTCATTGCCCTAGAGAAAAGCAAAGATACAGTGAGAGCTCAGCCCACGCTCTGGACAACTTAGGGGAGGAAGTAGAAGTATAGCAAAGAAGGGAAGGAGCCTGCTGATCTAGTAGCCTTCTAGAAGGATGAGAAGAGGATAAAAGGACTGTTCTTAAGTGATACAGACAGCACAGGAGAGAAGAATGAGACAGGGTACTTGCCCCCAGAGAGAGATCACCTGAAAAAAGGAAGATCAGTCAACATGTGCACGCCAGTCACAGCACTGAACAAGCATTTAAGCATCTCCAGGTTAATCATTCAATAAAGTGGGGACAAGGCCAAGAAGTTAGTTAAATAGGCATTTTCCTTTTTATATGGACAAGGCAGTAGAGCTGGCCTGAGGGGAAAAATACAGAGGAGACTTTCCAGATGCTGAAATCATCATCTTCATCCTAACCCTTGTTACAAATAGGAACCAAGCACTGTACTGCTGAGCTAGAATTTAAAACTCCAAATAACTATTATCAGGCTCGGTGAGAAAAACATTGTCTAACATACACTACTCCCATCCTCCCTCTACCACCTCTTGTTTGTCCTGTCACCCTAAAGGAACATGCTATGTTAATTTTTCACATTTTAAAAAGGCCAAGAATTAATTCTTCTGTCCTTTAAGCTTTTCCTTCAAATAAAGGAATCTCTAGCTAAGAGGATACCAGAGGAGGTATCAGGAAAACAAAAAATCATGAGTCGAGCTGTAAATGAAACTCCCAAGCCAATTAACATCAGTTTACCTGAGATTAGGCATTTTGGTTCATTAAAACCCTCATAATAGTCATAATTTAACATTATGCCTTAAAAAAGGCTCATCTTTGGACTGATAATAACCAAAGATAACTGAAATGTTCAAAACTATTTAAAAGATCGGATCCTACTCATTTTTCCCCTCATGCTTTTTAATTTCTGTACGATGCAGTGAGGCATACGCAGACCATGCCGCTGCAGGGTGCTCTGTGAGAGACCTCCACAGGCACCGTGAAGTGGCTGATGGTTTATGCTGGAAGGCATGTAACATCTCAGGCAATCGTTGGAGACCAGACAGAACACAGGTTTGGGAAGGAGTCATGAGGCAAAAGGTATATTAGACAAGGCCATCTGGGCCCACCTCTTCCAGGACTTTAGGACCTTGGTTAGAAGATGGTATAGTGCCTGGGTTAGTATCACCCAACACTCTTGAAACCCTTCTTGTAACATGCCATCTTCAACAGGGAAACAAGTGATTACCCATCTTCCACTCCTGAAACTAGCCTTGGCTTAGTCCCCAAGGCCAAAGCGCTGTTGTTACCTGTCTTGCAGCCTTGAGTGGTCCCCCCACTCCCTCCCACTGAAACACCTGGACAAGCAGCCAGTGAAGCTTCCTTCCCTGTGGGCTCCCATAAAGGCCAGCAGCATCTGCCACACAGCCAAGTGCAGGGCAGCAAGCAGTTCTTTCCTAGAGACCCTTCTATATAAAGCTGCTTCTCACCCTGATCAACTCTGCCTGAGCCATCAGAGAAGTCAACAGGGGAGCAGGGGGCAAGCAAAGCTCAATGGTCAGGCCAGGTGACCTAATAATGGTCTACAATGTTCCTGACCTGAAAGTCATTGAGAGATGCATCCACAGCTTCCCAAGGGGTTTAAGGTTCCAACAATGGCTACAAGGTTGGCAAGAAAAGGATTCCTTTCAAAAAGTGCCCCCATCCTTTTCTAGTCTCAAACAGAAATGCAATTCAATTAATCTGGCATTAGCAGACCTATCAAACTTGTGAAGCCAGTCCTAACAACAAGGTGCAGACAGATGCCCGCCCTGCTCAGACTCACAGGACCCGCACAGATCATGAGTGATGCAACGTGTCAAGGCTGCACATGGCCGGATGCATTTGGAGCAGCCCCAATCAAGGGTGCTAATCAGTACCTTACTAGACCATTTGGTGGCTTCCCGATGCAATGACTGAGCCGCGGCCAGAATGGGCTGGTTGACCGGCTGATTGGATGGCATTAACAGCAGCTCAGGTTCGTAATCGTCTTCCATGTCAGGGGGGACAGGGAACCCAACACCATCGGCCGCATCTGCCTCTGCCACAACACCTATACCCACCTCAGCGGCTGGAATACCCGGCTTTGTCGATGGCGGGAAGGATGAGAAACAGGGATAGTGTTAGTAAGAGCAGTAGGAATTGCGAAACTGAGCGTCAGCTGTTTTAGTAACCAAAGCTTGTCTAGAATAGGAAAGAAAATGACATATTCTCCAGGAGCCAGATGAACCAAACTCCGCAAAAGGGTTTCTCAGCCTCCAGCCCAAGTCACCCCATTCACAGTAAGTGAAGAAAAGAGGCTTCCCATTAAAAAAGATTTTCTGGAGAAACATTTATACCAAGAAAGCAAGTGACATTCATTTTTTTTTTTTTTATACACTTACTACCAAAGTTAAGCTTGCCAAGAGTAATTTTTATGACAACATTTTTCAGGAGCCAAACAACCAAATAATAGTAGCTGGTTACCTTTAAAAGGAGTCCACTGGGGAAAAGCTAATGCAACCAACAGAGTTTGTTTTGAATATAACAAAGTGAACACCCTGCTGGTTCATATGGACACTATTCTACATCTTCCTGGAGACAGGAAGTGACTTAGATCAGTTCTGTAGATGCACATTATCATTTCCTTTGGGAGTTGAAAGACCCAGAATTTAATACACGGAGGTAACAGATATCAAACACAATTGTGGGTGAAGAGGATTTATCAAGTACTCCCCAATAACCCATTTCCAAAAGACACCTAAACCTGTTTACCTTTTAGGAAAAAATAATACCAGCTCTCTCTAGCCCATCAAGGTCTGCAAAAACAATACTTCTACAACCTGATATTACATCCATTGCTAATACAGGCTCAAGAAGCTGTCATTGTGTACACTCTAGTTTCTTCCATTGCAAAATAAAATTCTCACTTACCCCAAACTTAAATAATTCACAGATAACACATGAACTTGGCAACTGACTGAGCTGAGCTCAAAGATACCCAAAATAAGTGCCCATGAGAGAACAGGTTCACTAGGGGGAGAGAATTTAATACCTGGGATAGAGATTCTAAAAGGCCAGGACAAGAGCCAGTGAGGGGTGGGAGGTAGGGGTTAGCTGCTGAAAACAACCAAACAAAGCAAATAAAAGTTACCTCAATGAAACCAAACTACTTATATAAGGCAAGTGAACACAAGTTCTTTACATCAAATATATCACTAACCAAGAAGCAGCAGGAATTTGTGTGGAATTTCATTTGAGATTGCCATCATTCCTTAAGAGTTTATCCTGCACAGGAAGCCAGTCTCCAAACAGAAGTTGGAGGATTCAGGGCCAATAAGGGATACAGATACCATCCAAATCCTTTCACCTAAACTCTGTTTCAACCAGGACTCATCCGATTAGAGGAAAGGCCAGCTCACTGGTGTTGGGATTCAGACCCCCAAACTGTTCAAAGACAAACTGACTGAGAGATACACAAACACATACCACCGCCGCCACCTCCCAACCCCCACATACACATGGTTCAAGTAGCTCCTGACTTCAGTGTCCTGTGATGCTCCCAACTTCCAGAGACAACCAAACCTAAACATTCTGGCCACAAATGGCAGGGTGGAGTAAATAAATAGGCCAATGCTGTCAGCCTCTTAAGTTTTATCTTTATAATTCATATATGCTTTCTATTCTGCATAATGGAGCCACATTTATCATAATGAAATTTAAATTACCTTTAAATTTAACCTTCATTCTCATTCCTACTCCACTCCCCATGGGACTCTGCTAATGGTCCTAGGGATGTGCATGCCCCCATTGGAAAGATATGATTACAAGTAATTCCACAGTCAAATCCAACATCATTCCTTTTTAGAACCTGGGCTTACAGTAAATGGCTCAAAAAAAAAACAAAAAAACACAGTTAAAAAACCAAGGTCAATTTCCCAGTCACTACAAGAGACTGAGACCTCTGAATCTGTGAAAAGAACAAAGGCAAATAGTGGGAATAAAGATTAAAGGTCATATTTGAAAGTTTAGAACTGAGCTGGAACTACATTTCATTGCAAAGTTAGTATTAACATTTAACTCTTATCTAAAAAAAAGCTACCATTCACTTTGCATCATTTAGGGGAAAACAGGCCAAAGTCATTCACAGGGCATGACTGCTACAGCATCCAAATTTTCACCAACCACATTAATTTTAAAGTTTGAGACTTGTTGAGTTGGAGTTATACTGGAGTTATCTTGAGTTGAGGGATAGGATGATTCTCAGAAAAGGACAAAGCACACAGCTTCTATGAAAAAAACAGGAAGATGCAAACATTTCATCTAGCTGTAGCAGAGCCCACAGAAGACAGTTTCAAGTTTAGAGTGCTGATAATTAGCAAGAGAGCATCAAAAAACGGTCAGCAATCCCAAGAGAAAAGCAACTTCTAAGACTCCAAATGTCCAGAGTCAGGGAGGCTAATGGACAGAGGAAAGGAACCCTCCTCCCCAACCACAGGCATCCTAGCGCTCACTTTCGCTGCCAGCAGGAGAAACCATCAAGCACCAGAAACTTCTCGTTAAACTAACAAGAAGGAAGGGGATCATGCTATTGGCAACAATAGAATCAAAGCAATGAGGAGATCCCTTCTTTCTTAGCTAGGTGCATGGTTCATCCTTTCTCAGCAAGAAAAGCTTCATTACTTACCTTGCTGGACCATTTGCGAGCTTCATCATGGAGCTGCCTGGCAGCCATCATCATTGGCTGGTTAATCACCTCCCCAGCTTTCTGCTCAGGGAATTCTTCATCCTTCTCTTCTGGTGGTGGAGGCCTGGGTGGAGGGACCTCACCCTCAGGCAGAGGTGGTTTGGGAGGAGCAAGCTCATCCGTCAACTAGGAATGAATATCAGGTTTTAAGTAAAGCTCTAGGAAAAACTTCCCCTTGGAATTCATTCCTTTCCTCTAAAAAACTTCCCCAGAAAGCCACCCACATTCACTCCATGTAAGACCACCCACGCTGAGCACAAGGACCAACTACTTTAATCTCAACAGAAGCATATTTTCTTCCTCTTTCTCTAAGAGCTAGCAGCTACTGTTTTGGTCATATCCCAGGAAGTCATGCATAGCACAACCAAATCAAAGATTCTCAAAGAAGATTCCCACAGACCCAAGTTCTGCTCCTGATTCTGATGAGACGGTAACTGTCTAGGCAAGTAACTTCTCCCCTGGGCCTCAGGTTCCTCATCTGACCATGAGAGGTAGCTAGACCAAATGATTTTGATCTTGATTCTACTTTTTAAATCTCTGCTCCAGCCACTCCCCATTACAGCAAGTCAACACCTACCCAGTCCACTCCATGCAAAAGCAGTTAGTTAGGATTATGCTACATTCATGAGTGAAAATCAAGTTGTAATTATGACTAAGCTTCAAGTAAAAGCCTACCTCTCTCTTTCTACAGTCCCAGCAACGCGCTACTCAGTTCTCACCATCTCTCTGAATTTACTTACACGGAGCTGATCAATGTCTGGTGGAGGAGGCGGGAAGTCAGGTTCCTGAGGTTGGAAGGCTTCTCTGACCTTAGCCACAGCTCCGAGGATCCGATATCCAGAGTCCAGGAAGCTCTTCTGCAGGCCTAAAGACAAGACACCCTCACTTTCAGTTGGGCAGCTTACTGCCCTGGAGCACTCTCTGTCCAGCAGAAGAACTGGTTCCATTAACAAAAGCTGGATGTGAAGCTGCCAGTAAGCCTCACAGGTAGTGATTAAAGGGGAGAGAAGGTAAAGACAGGGCAGATACCCTGAGGCTACAAACCAGCTGTTTCCTGTGGTGCTCAGGGTGGCTCCTTGCCTATACAATAACAAGTACTCAGGACATTCCCTGAGTGTGAACACTTGGATACAGATAGGTCTTCATCACCTCTCCTATGATGAAGCAGTCAACAGATAAGCCTGCCCAAAAGGACAGATGTTAGTTTCAGATCAAGCATACATTCCCTGAATGCTTCTCACCTTTCTCCCTACTCTGCTCTACTTGGCATTCAACATATTAACCCTTACGTTTAAATGCTGCTACTGTTTCTAGCCACCTAGAATACAGGAATCTCCTCAAATTATTAGAAACTCCAATTAGGAAACCGAGAATATTCTTAGTGCTGATAGATGCTAACAAGATTCTGCCTGGGTCGTGGATGCATCTCCTTCTTCCACTCAATATATTGAGTGGATTCTACTCATAAAATAAGACAAGAAACATTGGATGCTCAGAATAGGAAGGAATACAGATGTTTCCAAGCAAATGAGTGGTAACATCTTTAATAGTACTGAAAACTAGATCATTATTCGGCTAATAAAAGTCCAGATTCTTTGGTATAGGACCAGGATAACCACCTAGGAGGCCCACTGGTCAATTTAAACACCTCTAGATTTGACAGAAACAGAGACCATCTCATAAAGAAAATCACTTTTAAAAAGCAGAATAGGAGTTCTGCCAGTTACAGAAGTTAAATAGTTGGTAAACTAGTTACTGTGTATCTTTTGAGAAATTTCTAAAATAATGACAAAAAAGGATGAAGAGCTGTTTAGACAACATAAAGAAAGCAGAGAGATAAACTAATAGTAATCAACTGAAAAAGAAGAAAAAAGGAAAGCAAGCAAGCAAACAGAGAAGCTAGGCAGAGAAACTTAAATCTGGCTATATTGCAGAAAATATTCTACCCGATTTTCGGGTGATGGTGAAAGATTAATCTTTCATTCTTAAACTTGAAGCAGCTGTGGTTTTTGCTTCTAAATTTTGTATGTGGTGATTTTGGGATACATATTCTCTCCCTATCCTCTTAGTTTCCTGAGTTAACCTCTCAACTAAGGTGAGCCACACCATGCACTGCTTACCAGGGTCGGAAATGTTTCCAGCCACAGCCTTTGCATCCATCACCATTGGAGAAATGGTTTTGCTCAATTCATCAGAAGCAGCTTTCACAGCCTCACGGAACTTGGGATCCTCAGAGTTCTCCACCTCCCTCTTAGCCACCAGCAAGATTCGGTTGGCCCGACGAGCAATGCTGGTTGCCCCAGCCACCAGCATCTGAGGCTGAATGTTGGCCATGGCTACTTTACACTTGTCCAGGTCTTTTTTAATTGCTTCTTCAGAAGCATCCAACAGAGATTTGGTATCAATGGCTTCGTCCACCAGCCCTGTGGGGAGAACAAAAATGGAATTTAATTTCTATTTTAGAGGGAGAGAGACTCCAAACTCTTGTTCGCTCAAGTTCTTCATGTGAAAGTACAACACCCAGAATTCGCTTTAGTTCAAAGCCCTTCTTATGCAAACAAAAGCTTTTAGGTCAATACTATAGTAAAAAAATATGAGGATATAACCCAGGAGGCCAGATACACTCACAGCATTTATCCCAACTGTGGTCACTGGCCTTCTTGTATCTATAACAGACAACCAGAAATGCGACATCGGGAGGAAACAAGGATTATGTCTGAAACCTTCACTGCATCATTATCTGTTAATAACATTTTCTCCCCTCCCATCTCACTCCCCAACCATCTGTTGCTTTTTGGCTACTTGTAATGTCCAAGATGAGCCACACAGAGGATTCCAATAACCCTAAAGGCCTGTTTCTTGTTTCTGTTACCTCTCTTCAGACACTTTCGTAACTCCACTTTCATCTCCGGCTGCTATGGACCCCTGTCACTGCAGGTTCTGCAGGGAAGTCAAAGAGCTCACATTCCTTATTTCTTCCCTCTAATCCTAGCCCTCCCTTCACAGAGAAAGAATAAGATTCAGAGGTGCTACTTCAATTGCACAGACAGAGGTTTGTTGGTGGTTGGTTTCTCCTTTTTTAGGGAAAAAAAAAACAAAAAACTACGTAGTTGATATGTTGGAGGAAACGCTGAGACAAGCTGGATTAAATGGTAGCTATTGTAGTTCCTTGAAATGTGAGCCCACTGAAAATGACAGGAACACTTACTGTATCCACAAACACCGCCTCCCAGCCTCTGAAACCAAACTCTGGGCTCAAACTGAGCAAAGACACTATTCAAAGAGAAGACAGGAGCTGTAACAATAAACATCACACTGGGAGGGCAGCACTGAAATAAAAGAGACTCACAGAGTCTCTCTTCAGACAAAGTTGCAAGGCTTGAATGAGAAGCCACCGCTGCTCAGCAGCCTTAATCAGGGCCACATACACTGCCGAGCACATGACGGTCCCATTATCCAGTTATAGCTGAGTAATATAACCAGTCCTACTCGAGTTTCTCCGAACTCATTCCTCATGGATTAGACAATAAGAACTTTGCACACAACTCTACCTGTCATTTTTTCAACATTGTCGATCCACTGATTCTTCATTGTCTCAAAATGTTCATAAGCAGCTTGATTTCCAGGATTCCTAAGTAAGATGCGGGCAGCTGAGACGACCTGGCAATGATAAAACCACCTTTAAACTCTGGAGCACCCTCCCACGCAAAGACAAATCTTCAACGAAGCTTCCTCCTCTTCACCTACAGATGGCACTGTAAAGCCAAAAATGGGCAAGTTTCTTTTCAGACCACATTAGTTTGGGTCTTAAAAACAGTTGCTCCAATGAGCCCTAGCAAAAGGCTTTTTGGTCACAGTCTGATTTTAAGAAGGTAAAAAAGTAACAAAGGAAGTGAATGTTTACATGATAGTTCAGGATCATACTAAAACAAACCTTTTTTAAGCCCTGGGTATCAAGTCATCTATCTTAATAAAGCACCATAAAAAAATTGTACAAATTACTCAAAACTGATTTATGGAGATTTATTTAAAAAATAACTGTCTACAGTCAACAAAGTGTTTTCACATTATCTTACTATATCAGTCTCACAATAACCCTATGAAAGAGACAGGACAGGTAATCAATCACTTTACAGATGCAAAAACCAAGACTCAGAAAATTTAAGTGACTTGCTCAAGACCTCCCAGTTAGTCAGTTACAGCACTTAGAGAAGGTGCTAATATTTACTGAGTATATGGTGTAAGCCATACACACATTCTCTTAATCTTCAAAACAATCCATTAAGAAGGAATTATCTCAGGCCTCCCCTAGTGGCGCAGCGGTTGAGCACTGGGCTGCAAGGCTGCCCACAGCCTCTGCAGTGCCAGTTCCTTCCCCGGCTACGGGAGAAGGTCCAACAAAAAAAAAAAAAAAAAAGGAATTATCTCTAATGTCACAGAGAATTCGAATCCAGATCCATCTCTGAAGTCCTTGTTCTTTCCATAGTTGGTGTATTAAGTCTAGCTTTTTTTCTTTTTTATGAAAAATCTATTTTATAACAGAAATCCTGTTTTGATGCTTTATTTTTAATGGAAATTATTAAAGAATGTTAGACATGTTCATATTTTATGGAAGTTTTTTTTTTTTTTTTAAATCATAGTGTCCTTTTTTTTTTTTTTTTTTTTATAGAGGGCATGTTTTTTTTATTTATTTGTTTGTTTCTTTGTTTTGTTTATACATGCACTGGGTACAGTCAGAAGCGCGGGAGAGTGAGAGAATTCACCAGAGCCAGAGCGGGGAGCAGAACAGGCAGAGAAGAAGACCGAAGTACACTGCTGAGGGGAGCAGCGGGCGGACAGAAGGTCTGCGCGCCATGTGGGAACCCTCACCTATGGCTGGGGAGCAGCCGGGGATGCGAACCGGCGCCACAGAGGCTGCGGGCAGCTTCGCAACCCAGCGCTCAACCCGCTGCGCCACAGGGAGGCCCCTGGAAGTTTTTTTTTATTGAGCAAGTGTGACTTTTCAGAGAACCTAACTTGTTAACATATAATCTTTAGAGCAAAAGTTGAAAAATTAGGAGATAACACTTATTTCCCCTAACTCTCCCCACAAGTTGCTACCAGAGCCAGTATCACAGATTTGTAAAGATTTGTAAAAAGTTTAGCACAGTTCCTAATGTATTACATATAATCATAATATTATTTACTGAGTAATATATAAAAAATAATAAACTTTCTATAATTTGATTAGAAGAAAACATTGTACTGAATGTGTTGAACTGATATTTTTAAGAACATCTATTGAGAGTGGGGGCGGAGCAACATGGCGGCGAGGAGACGCTGCGAGTAAGATCTCCCCATTAAAAAGTTAATAGGGAGGAAAAGCGGCAGGTCCCAGTGAGAACTGGGACACGGAAGATAAACGGACGACTCCAGCAAACTGCCCGAAGAAGAAAGTTGCCATAAAAAGAGGACGAGAGGGAGGGAAGCGCAGAACCCTGCTCCCCTCCCCGCCAAAAGTCGGCACTCTCCGACCGGCAGAGAGGAGGAAACAACAAACCAAAACGGCCAACAAGAAAAACGGACACAGCAAGCGGGACTGTGAGTGGAAAGGAACTATTGCAGCCACCACACCCCGTGAACGGGAGCTGAGGCGAACCCTGCAGGATCCGCAGCGGAGGTGAGCTCCAGGCGCCATTAAAGAGAGCCCCGCCCCAGGAGGAGACCCAGCACCAGCACACAGCCCCGGCCGCCCGGTAAGCTTGCGCGGAAAGTGGCGCGGATCCAGACCGGATCGCAGCTGCCCAGGTCCCCGCGCCTGCACCTAGGCTTGCGGGGAGACCGGCAGAGGCCTCCTGAGTGAGGAGGAACAAGGCGCCAGGCAGGGGAGCGGGATTCAAAAGGCGCCATTCCCGCGCCACTGATCTGGGCTACAGCCCGCGTCCTGGAACTGAGGGCTTTGGAACTGAGACCCGGGGCACGAAATTAGGGGCGTGGGTTCCCCACGACGGTGGGGCACAAGGCAGACACAGCACCCCCAAAGCCGTTGAGGTGTACCCTACCATCCCCCGCTCTGCTCCCTATCCCACGGTGGGGATCAGCTCCCAAGGGCTCTAGGAGAGATCTCTGGCGCCACCCTAGCGACTTGACCCCAGCACAGGCCCCTGAAGGAGCTAGTGGCCAGCTGGGGAGTTAGCCCACACCTGGCTCCTTCCGAACAAGTAGTCTGAGCCCACAGGGAGAGCGAGCACCCACAGCCGGGGCAGACCAGGCGCGCAGAAGAGTGTGCCTGAGACCAGACGCGCAGGGAAGTGTGTCCCACATCACCATTTTAGAACAGGGACATTTCTTCAGTAAAGACTACCTGCCGAAGGCTTCCTCAGGAGCCAAGGTGAAGCGGGGGTAGTTCGCCACGCCAGACCCCCTCTGGCCTGCAGTCCAAGCCCAGAGGGGAGCAGGAAACCCACCGCCGGGGCAGACCAGGAGCACAGGGAGGTGGTGCCCACATCGGCATTTTAGAACAGGGACCTTTCTCCATTAAGGCTGCTTTGAAACTGACAGACTGACTCCTGGAAGAACCAGAGTGGAACAGAGAAGCCCAACCCAAGATGCCGGCCAGTCCCAACAACACAGTGTCCCAACGCATACGGCAAATTAGAAAACAGACAGTAGGGAGGAGAAGAACCACACGCAACCTAGCAACTCTCCAGAAAAAGCACACCACAAAAAGAAAGCCAGCCCCCAGATTGCAAAGACAATAACTTGGAAGAATTTCTGAGCTTCCAGAAAGAGAATTTAAAATTGCCGTGATTAAAAAACTGACAGAAGTCATAAAGGAAAACAATGATAAGGAAAAATAATCAACGATCAGAAGAAATGCAAGTTGAGTCCTAGAGAGGGAAAACAATGGTCAGAAGAAAGAAATTGAGTCCCTAAAGAGGGAAGTAAAAGAAATGCAGGAGATCAAAGATTAATGGAAGAACTAAAAAATTCTGGGAAAAGCAATGAAAGCAGAATAGATGAAATGGAAGAACGAATAAGTAACTCTTGAAGACACAGAAATAAAAAGAACCAAAACAGAAAAGGAAAAGAGAAGTACGAAGGAAAAAGAACGAAGAAAGACTTCGGGAACTATCTGACTCCATGAGGAAAGGAAATATAAGAGTTATAGGAATTCCAGAAGGAGAGGAGAGAGCATGTAGGAACAGAGAAAATATTCAAAGAGATAATTGAAGAGAACTTCCCAAATGTAAGAAGGAGCTGAAAATTGATATACAAGAAGCAAAGAAGAACACCAAACTTCCACGACGAAAGGAAAAATACAGCAAGACACATAATAGTAAAGCTCCAAGAATCCAGGACAAGGAAAAATAATGAAGCTGGCAAGAGGGAAGAAACAGATAACTTCAAAGGAAAACCAATCAGGCCTGACATCAGACTTCTCCGAAGAAACACTACGGCAAGGAGAGAGTGGAGGGACAAGTCAACAGACTCCAAGAAAACAGATGCCAACCAAGAATACTCTATCCCGCAAAGCTCTCCTTCCTCTTTGAAGAAAGAATATGGACCTTCCCAGACAAACAGAAACTCCGGAATTTCATTGCAACTAAACCCCCACTCCAAAAAATACTACAAAGGAGTCTAAAAGCCAGAACCTCAGAGGGACGAATAACAATGAAAGAAGGCCAAAAAAAAAAAAAAGTTATTAAAAGAATAAATAAATAAAATCAAAGAAAAGAAAACACAATGGCAATACAGATGTTAACATATCAATATTAACTCTAAATGTAAATGGACTAAAACTCTTCAATAAAAAGACACAGAGTGGCAGCCTGGATTAAGAAACAAAACCCAACCTTTTGCTGTCTCCAGGAAACACATTTAGCTACAAAAGATAAAAATAGGCTCAAAGTTAAAGGATGGAAAACAATCCTACAAGCAAATGGACCAAAAAAGAAAGCAGGAACAGCTATACTTATATCAGATAAAACAGATTTCAAACTCAAAAAGATAAAAAGAGACCCCAATGGTCACTACATTATGATCAAGGGACAAATACTTCAAGAAGAAATAACACTCATTAACATATACTCACCAAACGAAGGAGCACCAAAATATATCAGACAACTGTTGTCCTCTCTGAAAACAGACATCAGAGAAAACACATACGTAGTGGGAGACTTCAACACACACTATCAACATGGATAGATCAACAAGACAAAAATAAGTAAAGAAACCAAAGCTCTAAATAAAGGACCTAGAGCAATTGGGCTTACAGACATCTATAGAACACTAAACCCCCAAAAAAACGGAGTACAACATTTTTCTCAGCGCACACGGATCATTCTCCAGGATCGATCACATACTGGGGCACAAGACAAACATCAACAGATACACCAAGATTGAAATCAATCAACCATCTTTTCTGACCATGAAGGCAATCAAACTAGAAATAAACCATAAAAAGAAGGCAAGGAACTCCCTACCTCATGGAGATTTAAAAACCACACTACTGGAAGACCATTGGACTAATGAGGAGATCAAAGAAGAAATTAAAAATTTTTTGATTGAACGACAAGGAGGACACTAATATCCTAAATGTATGGGATGCAGCAAAGCAGTAATAAGAGGAAATATATAGCAATAGAA